TCTTTGTAAAATTATATGATAGTTTGAAAACTATCTTAGAAATCATTCAGAATAAAAAATTTTATTGCAATTTTAAAAATAATAAATTTACATTTTCAATTAATTACAACTTAAAGATTGCATTTAATTTTTTCTATTTTTAGCAATGTTATCCAATAAATTATATGCTTTTTTTGAAGTTTTTAATTTTTGCATACATCTATTATGGTTAGATCAATATTATTTTAAATAATTTATGTTTTTTTTGTTGAACAGATGCTAGTTGCACTCAAATCTTGGTTCTACTTTATAGTAATTTAGCTTTTGTAATGAAATTGCATTAATAGAGATAAGAAGACAACTTTATATCTAATAAAGATTTAGCTTTTATAACTTTTTTCAAGTTTTACAAGTAACTGACTATTATTTTTTATATTATCTAGAATATAATAGAAAAAGTTTTCAAGCATTTTAACATAAGTATTTATATCTTCGATGTTATTTGAATTACTTAATGTATTAAATTATATTTTTAATAAATAAAATTTTAAATAAATTATTGCAATATTATTTGTTATATTATTATATAGAACTATTGCAATTATATACAGTAGAAACATTTTTACCTAAGCTCTAAAGAGTATCTTGAATATCTAAAATAGGTTTTATAACTGTTTAGCTATTTTTTGCCATAAAAAATGCATATAAAGATGCATAAAAAAAGAATCATTTGCAATATTTCTTTTTAAAAATTATATTTAATTAATTAAGGTTGTAACTTTTTTCTTATATAAATAAATATATAATAACTTACTACAATTTATATATTAATAAATCATACAATTATTAATAAAAAGAGTAAAATAAAATTAAATAATTTTTCATAATACTTAATTATAATAGTAACTTGATGTTTGTATAATAAACTACCAAGCATAGCAAGTTCAAATCAATAGATCAATAGTATAAAATTTGCTAACAGTTATTATACTTGGTACACTGTATATATTATTAATAGTATCATATTTAATTTCTTTCTAGTTTACTATTGTTCAGTCTGAACAAAAAATTTATTTTAATATTTCTAAATAGCCTTGGTATCTATTGGTAATAACTAATTATTATTACTTATAAAAACATTCCATGTTTGTTACAATTAGTTAAAATATTTAAACAGTATTATAAACTTGAGTTCTCTTGAAAATAATTTCTTTAATAATTTCAAAACTTTGTTTTACATAATTATTAGTATAGTTGTTATATAATAATAAACTTTTCTGATATAATAATGTCCAAAATGATTTTTATTTTCAAAGAAACAAACAATATAATACAAGTTATTTATATTTGGTAAAATATTATTCTTTAATGCATATAAAATAGTCTTTAATGAATTCATAATTGTAAAGTGATAATTTTTATAAATTTTATATTTTGAATTATATAACCAGTGTTAAAAGCCTGTAATATATAAAAGTTGCATATTAAACAAGTACAATTTGGCCAACAAATTTCTAGAATATTATACTCAGCAAATGAATCATTTGTAATAATTAATTTAGTGCCAATTTAGAAACTATACTTATAAAAGACATTAACAAGTAAGACTGTTTTAAGTAAGTTAAAAGCATTTTTGATTATTATTTCAGCTTTATCTAAGGTTAAAAATATTTCTAAACAAAGAGTGCCAATTATACAACTTATGTAAAAAAAATGAATTGACATATTAAGTAGATCAAATGCAATAAATATATATAAATAATAAAGTTCATCTACTGTAAATTTTTTTATGTACTCTTTTTATTAAGATTGTTATAATGTAAAGAATAAAAGATGTATAGATAGTAGTATTATATACTTGAAGAACTGCTTTAATATTATTTGAAACATTGTACTGTTCAACCATCTCCTGTAATTAATTAAACATTTCTCTTTTATTTTGATTACCAAGTTAAATAAATTAAAATTTAATATAAAGGTGTCACAAAAAAATCCAATCTAGATTTTTCAATTGATTAGTCAACAAATGTGTAAGTTCATCATTATTTGTCACAAATAAGTGCAATTTGTCTTTATATTTATGTCTTACTAAAGCTGCAGTATGTCCAATACTAAATAGGTTAATATATTATTTTTGTGTTTCTTTACTAACTGGTTAAAAGCTAAAAAAAAGCAGCTGAATTTGACAAGTAGTTATGAGTAAAATGAAGATTAATCTCTAATAGATGAAAAGTTATAAGTTTTGATTTCTCTAATTTAAAATCAAATATGACCATACAATTTGTATTTTTATTATGCATACTATTAGGATTTTTAACTTTACAATTTTTATTTTTTTGCTTTACAATGTTACTATAGATACAATGACATGTTTTCTAAAAAATAACTTTGCATTCTTTGACTGAATAGATTTAGATAAGACATATAGTTGTTTTTGAAATTTTTTAAAAATCATTTAATCAATCTATAGTGCTTTCTTTTATATTAATATTTATATATAAATTTATGCTAACCTATACAATATTTATATTTTCAATTGTAATTATTGTTTTATATTCAATATAATTTTCAATTTTATAATTATAATTTGGTAGAAAGATTTGTTGAAGAAGATTAGTAAATCAAATAAATTTGATTTCTTTTTTTGCATTTTTTTTTTTTTTATTTGAAGGTTTTTTTGATTTGAACAATAAATATAAATAAAAGTAACAAATAAAAATAAAATAATACAGTAAAAAATAAGTACAATATATAAAATTAGCTTTATTAAAGAAATTATTGTCACTATCATTTTCATTATGCTATATTATTATTATTATTATTATTTTGCTTTTGCTAAGGCCATTAGTTATTAGTAGCTACTGCCTTTATTGTAAATTCAATTATGATTATATAACTTATACAAGGTTACTCTTATACTATACTAGCAGATAGTGCACAAGCTCTCATACATCTAATTAGGTGCTGTCTAACCTAACTCTGATCTTCCTGTCTGTATATCTATTAAGCCATTACATATTTCAGAGTATATCACCTGACTGTAAAGCTCCAAAGAGCCCTTCTGCTAACTAACTATTCACATTTAATCTTTGCTAACAGAGCTTGCTTTTGTAAAGTTTACTCAAACCCTAGTACAAACTTTACAGCATATTTCTAGTACTTAGCTATTTCCTGCTTTAGACCTCAGACTTTCAGTTCAAATAGCCTAAAAGGACTGTATCCTGTTCCTAATATTCTGAGAGTCTGTCTTTCCAAAATTATTTTTTACCAATTCAAGACTTTCAGTGACCTAGTTGGTAGTACTCTTACCTGAGGTTCTTGCCTACCTGATGCCTTTTATATTGATATTCATTTTCTAGATCTAGCCTTTATAGTAGTACTGTTAAAAATCTGTACTACCTCTTTACTTTGGTTTTTCCAAGTGGGCTCCAGTTTTCCAGTTCACAAATTTATATAACCATGAAGACTTATCTTGTGTTTGCACTGCCTGATATCAGTTTGCATTTCTTTGTATAAGTTTAACATTGCATAAATGCTTCATGACCTGCCATTCATGCTGGTGTGATCATGTTACAGGTATCTGATCCCAACTGATCAATAGAGTGCCATTGTCATAATACTGCTCACCTTCTATAATACCAATATAACATAAGTAGTTTTTCAAATTTTCACTGTCAGTAAGTTTTGAACTTCTAACTTATCACTTGGAAGGTTAACAACTTACCTACTTTACTAAGTTGTCATACCCCTATGCTATATTATTAATATTATCAAGATTAATATATTAATAATCTAAAATCATTATCTGGACTATTGTATAACCTTCTAGAACAAAACTTTGTACAAATTAAAATAATAAAAATGTGATTCCAGAAACACATGACAAAAAATGATCAATATGGCACAGTAATGCAATAAACAGCTATATTAATTAATTATCTAAAATAGGTTTTTTGAGATTATCAGTTGTAAAAGTCATTTAGAAAATATAAGAGTAATAGTGATAATAAGAGTTTTAAAAAAAAAACTAAAAAGTAAAGAAATATATAGTATTTAGAGCTTTAAGTAATATAGAATATTAAAAGTATATATATTAAATAATATACTTAATAGTTGTAAAAGTGCATATGTAATAGAACAGTATATAATAAAGGCTTTGAGCCTTATAAGAAACAGTAGTTAGTACTTATTATAAAAATTCATTTCTAATAATAATATTTATCATCATTATAATAAAACCTATAATAATAAACTATTTATTTAATCTAAATTAAACTGCCTGTTATCAACTAATCCAATTTGTAGTTTATATAATATATCTATTTGAGAAGCAACTGACTTACTGTATCACCCATATTATTTTAGTAGTAACTGTAAGATCTGACATCCAAGAACAGCTAAACTGTAAAATAAGAATTAGTATTTTAATAGCATTTGATATATAATAAAATAAAAAAAGACAATTAATTAGTAAAAGAATAAGTACTAAAGAAAAAAGAAATAAAGAAAAGTTATTCAACATTCTGAAGACAAAAAAAAATAGAAACTATAATAAAAAAGACTTGAAGAAGCTCTTCAAAAGAAGTTTAATGCTTTTATTATAAAAGGAAAAAGCATATTATCAATAAATACCCAGATGTTAAAATATTAAAATAGAAATATGTAATTCTATTCAAAACACTTACCAATGAACAAACTCAGAAGGTCTAATAAACTATTAATAAAACCTTTAGATATAAAAGTCTGGATAAAAAACAAATTTCTTAGACATTGGAATTTATATTAGAAGTGTTAGAAAATATATCTATTAATAAAGAAGATAAAATAAAAAAATTCATATACCTATTCTCATATATTAATATATTAGCAACATCTGTTCTACATAACTATTCTTAATGTATATAGCAACAAAAACTCCTATTATCTCTAATAATCTAAGATGAACCTCTAAAACTAGTCTAGTAAAGCTTAACCAAAAAAGAAAAACTATATTCATAACAGAAGTTCTTGATACCTACTATATGTCAAAGATACTAGTTGAAAAGAATAATATTTTGATGAATAAGATTAAGAACCTAATGCCAACAGATATTGAAATCATTTCTAAAACTATTCTAGAAGACTTGATTGATGAATATTTAGAATTACTTAAAAATTTTGTACTAGGACCATAAAAGAATTCATAAATTAAACATAATGATAATGAACAGAAGGCATATAATTGTTATCTGAAAATTGTTGTTAATAAACCCAAAGTGTTGGAATGATATTTAAAGTATATAGAAAACATTGAGATAGACAATTCCAAACAAATATTTAATGTCAATTATTGTTATAAAAATAAAATTAAAATAAAAAAGTTAATGAAGATAAAACCTATCAAGATAAACAAAAAAGCATTAAACTAAATAAAAAAAATAATAATAAAGCTGATTATACAAATGATATTATAAATAAATATCTTAGCAGAACTAGCATTGAAAAGACCAGACTTAAGAAGAATGATCATAAAACATTTAGACAGTATTTGAAAAGTGCTGAAAAAATAATTTAAATAACCAAAACAGTTTTGAGTCCTATTATAAAGAGGAAATAGAAAACCTATTTGAATCAAATAAAAAACCCTTCAGAATTGCAGTTGAAAAAAATAAATGTAAAGCCTTTAAAAATGATCAAAAATTTGTAGAAATAAGAAAAAAGCTGATAAAATATGTTCTTTTGTTCATTATTATGAAAATGAAATTGAAGTTAAAAATACTAAATGAATTAAAATTAAAAAAGATGAATGTAAAATAATCAAATACTCTCAAAAAGCTACCTACATGGATTATATTGAAGGCAACTTTAATGTTAGATATTATTATAAACATGGAATTGAAGTTGAAAAGACTGATAAAAACAGCAATTTAAATAAATAAAATAATGTTGTACTCTGTTATGAAAAAGGAACTAAAAATCTACTGAAATCCAAAAAAAAATACTATCAAAATGAAGCTAAAAAGAATGAATATGATCTCTGTGATAACTACATGAAAATATGTGTGTTTGACTCTTCTGTTGACATGTATAATATTGAATATTGTTATCAATATGAAATAGGTATCAAAAAAGATGAATAAAAAACCTTTGTCTATTATTAAAATCTTGCTAATATAAATAATACTAATGAATATACTAAAGAAATATATAAGGTTGGATATTGTTATTATAATAAAATTGATATTAAGAAGAATAAACACCAAACACTTACTTAGTATTGAAAAGTAATTAATATAAATAATAATAATAGCATATTCGAAGTTGAATGCTATTATTAAAATAAAATAATAACTAAGAAAGTAAATAAAACTAAGACTCCTACACAAATTCATTAATAAATCTTATTAGAAAACCTAAACAAAACCTGTTAAAATTGGAATAGAAAAGTTAATGAGTTCAAAAGATTGATTCAAGATGATACAAAAACAATAATAAAACTATACTGATTTGAGTTTAAAGAACTTCCATTATCTAGTAATATAGAATGTAATTTTGACACTTGTTATCAAAATGAAAACTGCTTTGAAAATGAGAAATTAAATCTAAATAGTATTCTAAGTATATTTAAGAGAAGATATTATATCAAATCAAGTACATAAATATTGGTTCAAATGAAGCCCATTGATACTTATTAACATATGAACCATGTACTTGCATCTTCGATCCTGGTGAAAAATTGTTCCTATTATTTAATTTTGTTTTGTGAAACTCAACTTTGAGTTGGGGAGAAATGTGAGCAGTGGAAACATGATTCTGGAAGCACATAGCAGGGGATGATCAATGTGATGCAATAATGCAATAAACAGCTATGTTGATCATTTACTAAAAATGAGTTTCTCAAGATTATCAGTCATAAAAGTTGTTTAGAAGATATAAGGGTAATAGCAGTAATAAAGGTTTTAAGAGAAAACTATAAGTAAAAAGATATATGGTATTTAGAGGCTTTAAGTAATATAGGACATTAAAAGTGTATATGTTAAATAATACATTTAATAGTTGTAGAAGTGCATATGTAATAGAACAGTATATAATAAAGGCTTCGAACCCTACGAGAAGCAGTAGTTAGTGCTTATCATAAAAATTCGTCCCTAATAATAATATCTACTGTCATTATAATAAAACCTACAATCATAAACTATACACTCGCCCAAATCTAACGCCTCTTATCGAGTAAGCCGATTCGTAGGTTACATGACGTATCCATTTGAGAAGCGACCGACTTGCCGTATCGTCCGTGTCGACATTTACGGTATGCATGCTTTTCTATTCATTACATAAGAGTGACTATTACCTAAATTGATCAATGACCTGATCCTGCATAAATTAGCTAATCAATCCTGATTAAATTACTAATACACATGAACAAGCCACTATACCGATAGTACTATATTACCCTACTCGCAATAACTTTTCATTTCGGTTTACTATTGGAGTTA